TTGGCGATGTGGGACAAATACAATAGAAGTGTTCTCCTCAATATTTGGTCGATAATATTGTGACCAATTTCTGTCAAGTATTTATTCGTCAAAAATTACTCACGAAGTTTCGACCAAATTTTGTTTTAGTCGATAAATAGTAATAATATTTTGACTATTTATTGACCACTTGTATTAGTCAAAAAAAGTTTGATCATATTTTGACGAGTTTAAATTTTCATAATTTTTTGGTCGAAAATTTGTCAACAAATATTTTGACCAATTTATTCGTAAAAAAATTGGTCAAAAATTAACATGTTTTCTTGACCAATTTTCAACCAATCTTCTTTGTCGCAAGTTTTCGACCATTTTTTGACAAATTTACGACTCCGTTAAAAATTGGTCGAAAAATTTCGACCAATTTTTTATTCTTATATTTCATCATATTTTTTTGACTAATTTATAACGAAAATAAACATTCGTCTAAATTGGTCGAAAATGATCAAAATAGTTTTGACCACAAAAACAAATTGGTCAAAAATTGATATATTTTCTTGTAGTGACTTTACATTAATTGATTTAAAAACTAATTATACAATCTTGGGGTTTAAATGTATTACTATTAAAAACTGGCTCTGAAAGTAAAAATGCATTTTCCCCCGAAATTACATAACCTTATAAATGAGCACTAATTCAATGGATTTTTTAAACGATTATATTTTGTTTAAATTGTCCTAAGTAAGTGACATGAATATAATGAAACGAATATATAGCAATCAATAAACTTTTTTATAAAGTTGTTAAGATAATCATAATTGTTGTTTTTTTAAAAACAATTGTGACCATTGGATTGAAGAACATAATCTTGATGGTTGAATGTAATTGTTTTCTTAAACCATTTTAAAAAATAATTAAAAGATAAGCCAAATAACATTTTAAGATTTTGCTGTGTGTTTGAATGTTTGGAAGTTGGAACAATTACGATAACTCCTACCAAAATATTAGAGGTGACGTTTATACTTTATAGTGATTGTTACAATTATCCCATTTAATGGATTGTAAGAATCAAATAGCAATCAATTATCTTTTTTATCCCCAAAATATAATAAAATTATCCCGTTTATTTCGTTCAAATACATTATAAATCATCATTAATCAAAAATATCAAATCACAACATTAAGAAAACCAAAAATATCCGAGAGCATCGTGAAGCAAAAAGGGTACAAGGAGAGCTTAATTAGGGATAAAAACAACAAATAATATTAATTTTATTTACTAGCAAATCTTGTTCTTGTTGGTCTTCTTTGTCTCCACAAACTTCTTCCAATACGTCGTAACTTCCCTCTTCGTCTCCTCTTCCGTCTTCTTAACACCGTTAACTTTCCCGTTTACCATCTTGGCGTGAATCCTTGCCGGAAGCGTATCAAGCTCGTGAAGAACTTTCTCGAAATCCAAGACCAATCTCTCGGCTAAGGTTCGAGAAAAATCTTCTCGGATCACAACTCGGAGCACGGTTATGTGTTCCGCGTCCGCCGGCATTGTGTAGGCCGGAACGATCCATCCGAAGCGGCGGAGTGTTTCCGCTACTTCGAACTCGTTGTGACGGCTACTGTCTTTCAAAGAAAACGCCACTAAYGGAACGCCGWTTTCTTTGGAKACAATGTTGAAACGTCCCGTTTTCTCTAATCCTTCTCTTAAGACCATCATGTTTTCCCGACAATTATCCATCACATTGCGATATCCCTATACAAAAAAAAGACATTATTGATGTTTAATCACAAAATAAATCCAACTTGTTATATGGTTCGAGTTTAGTTTTCCTCGGTTTAGAAAGTATAGTGATTAATATCCGTATTTAACATGAATCTGTATAGCATTAACTATACAAAGTAACAAAATTAACCCTATTATTTCAGCCACAAATTCAAATTCTATTTCGATTTAAATTATTAATTTTCTTAGGGAAACTTATGTAGTTTACATTATTATGTTTTTTCTAATTTCAATGTTGAGTTACTAATTACCTCGAATCCAAGACGAATTAGCTGGTAGTACTGAGCAATCACTTGACTTGAACCTGGTTCATATTTACAACAAATCATAAATATATTGAACAATTCCATATGTGTAAAATATTATATATATGGTTCAATGAAATATGTATATAATAATGTAATAAGTTACCTTTGGAGAAATTGAGGGTAAATGTGGGTTGATCAGCGCCAAGATAATTGATATGGAAAATAAGTTCT